GTTCCTTTCTGTTGTCTTCTTGTTAAGTGTTTGATGTAAAGCAGTTTGAATTGCCTCTGAGTCTGAAAATGTGCTATAAATAAACGTACCTTACCTTACCTTACCTTCAGGGGAAATTTAGTTAGTAGCCGCAGTTTAAATGCCTCTCTTTATCTCACTTAACTAACTCATTAATGGTCGCTCTTTACCAGAGTTGTAAAGTAACTAAGCACATGCTCATACTGTACACAAGTACAATTTTGAGATAGTTGTACTTTACTTGGGTATTTCAAGTTAATGCTACTTTGTAATTCTACTCCACTACAATACAGAGGTAAATAATGTACTTTTACTCCCCTACATTTATTTAATACCTTCAGTTATTTTAATAATATAATAAACACTTAAATAAGACTTTAGTTTACCTGGAGTAAATTCACAATCTACCATGCAGTATACACAGTAATTAAAACTAGCTGCACCTTTCCCAGCTTTGATAACACTTGCATCAATAATTATAATCAAAACATATACATTATCCTTAAACGGGCCAATCTGCATAAGTAGTACTTTTACTTTTTGTACTTTAAGTATATTTTGATGTTAACACTTTTGTACTTGAGTAACCTTTTGAATGCAGGACTTGTATCAGAGTATTCCTACACTCTGGTACTACTATGTTTGACACTTAAATAGAATAAGAATTTCCCAACCTTGGAAGAAAATGTAAACACATTTTTAGGAAAATATTTAAAAGGTAGCCAAAAGGGTCGACTTGGTGCAACAACATTTCCCTGGGGTGCATATCCATTTATATTTTCTTTGACTGTTTGGCCAAACAAAGATGTCAGCGGGAAGTAACCTGGAAGTAACATATGAGGTCCCTTCTCCTTTCGTTACCTGGCATGCACAACCACATCCTTTTTTTATAAGAAATTACATTATGTTTGAAATGTATTGGATTAGATTATTTTAGATAAAAATATTCTTATCATTCATATACACAATTTTGTCTTAATTTAGTGGGAATGCTGATACAGCATTCCAACTATATGTTATTCTACGGACAAAACATTTATTATTCCGCCGGAATTTTGCACCTCTTCTCCTCCTGCATTCAACATCGCAGAAACTCCGTTCAAACATCAAAACGTTCAGCTCGGTCGGGAATCGATGGCTATCATTTGGATTATTCATAACTTTCATAATTCCAGAGATACATCCCATAATTCATCATATTTTTAACCATTGAAGTCAATGGAGAAAATCTTCAGACTTGAACAATCTTCATGCAACTTCAACTGCTAACTGTTCATTCATACTTTCACTCAGAAACCTCATTCCAACTTTAAAATGTTACACATCTTTCTGACATTATTCGTGTAACACAACTTTTAAATCTGATTCTTACTTTTAGAGATATTAAACATTGTTCAGACCTTGGTAAAGAGGCTTTCCTCAGATTTTAACATTAACTAGAGTGCGTGATGTCACAGCTAGAGGGTAGGAAATCTTGAAATTTGCTTTCATATTTTTTTTTTAAACTGCCATAATTCCCAAACCCTACATTCCTACATTCCCAGATCGAAGGTGTTAACCCATCTCTCCAGGGAGAGAGTATACCAGCTCTCTCTCTCTCTCTCTCTCTCTCTCTCTCTCTCTCTCTCTCTCTCTCTCTCTCTCTCTCTCTCTCTCTCTCTCTCTCTCTCTCTCTCTCTCTCTCTCTCTCTCTCTCTCTCTCTCACACACAATGTTCCAAACGGCCCAAAACTTCACAGGTTTGGTAACGATGCAGCCATCACCCCATAAGCGTATTATGGGGTGTCATCAAATGTCGTTGCCATGGCGACAGATCATTCACCATCAAGTTAGTTCAAAAGTTTGCAGTTCAAATATTCTGCTGCTTTTCCAAGCCTTTTTACTTTCTTTTCTTCACTCATCACACATTCAAGCCCCCAGTGTTCATGTATCATTTCAATCTAAATTCTTCACTTTCTTCTTACACATTACATTTCAGCATAGCAGTTTAGCGTCAGCTTTTCAGCATAAAGCATTCCCACTAGCAATTTCTTCAGGAATTGCATTCTCTAGTTAATTATTTGTTCCTGTAGCATATGACACGAGCACCCTGATACGACACTTCTGGTTATTCAACAAACAACATGCAAAGTACAAAAGTACTCATTTTCATTTTAGCTTTATAGGAAAGTCTTTAAGAAAGCTTGAAATGTCAACATAACAAATCGCCTGTGTATTGTTTTGTAGGCCTTTGTCCGAGTAAAACAAATTTGTAGCTATGTGATTGCATTGTAATCATCACTCTAAAATTCTCGACACTGATTACATGAGAGGCACAAACAAAAGCTGAGCCATTGCTGGCTTATACAACAACTAAAATCAAACTTTTAAGCCGGTCAGCCTTAGAAAATCACATTTTTACCGCAAACATCTGCCTGCATAAAGGTTCATGTTAATTATTGTATAGGCTATGCTACAGCAAATTGGTGCAAAGGATAATTAGAATTCAAATATAAATTAATTTGCCTGAACTCCGACTACATATTTCCCTGCAAATTGAGTGTGTTCGCTCAGTGGCAAAATGTTAAAAGGATGAGAAATGATTACCTGAAAATATCACTTGGTTTAAAGGTTGCCCACTGTGACGAATGAGTCTTGCGATAACTAGCTAGCAAGGTCTACCCTCCGTTCTCGTTTGTACTTTTTCATTTTATCAAACCGGTCAATGCAACTGTTTTGCAACAGCATACAAGTCCAAGAGAGCAGGATTTATGCAATTATAAATGTTCCCCTACCTTTTATCAATAATGACGGGGTCTTTTCTAGCTATCATTGTGAATGCTTATTTTAATTGACCAGTCTCCTCAAAACAAACAATGCTTATCTATAATTACATCTATTATCTGTTGCTCTATTAGAGCCCATTTGTAGTACAAACACATTATGATACACAACTTAATTTTGACAAATGAAAATAGAAAATTGCAGGATATGTTAATTAGCAAAGCTAATCATATATATATATCCATATAAACAAGCAAACATCATCATCCGTCCACGATATATTCCTTCATTATTTCCAGGCTGTTAGTTAATGACTTTATAGGCTGAAGCCTAGGATATGGGCTGTTGTGTGTCATTTACACTGCAAACCCATCAATCTGTGTAGTATCAAATGGCATGGCTTAGCTGTAGCATGCCCAACACCCCCATTATTCCATCAACAAGCTGTCATAGCAGGGGAGAGCGGACAACAGAGGCAGCAGGAGATTGTACAGGAAGAACACAAGCAGCTCCAATTTACAATACTGATGTATTTTTGTAGCAAATGCCTCATATGAGACTCGCCTGAGAGAATGGGAGTGCATTTGGATTTTAAATAGAAGGGAAAGGAAATATTCTGTTGTCAAAGGCTTGCTTCGAGGGAAACAAATATCAAGCGTATGCGTGTCACTGTGTGACAATGTACCTCCTCAGGGAGAAATTGTTAGACTAACTGAAACTGTATTAACTTCAGAAATATTTATTTGGTTTGACAAATTGTGCTCTGTTTGAAAAAGGTATAATTTGAAATATAGACAAGAATGTTCCCAGTTAAGTCAAGGTTCAAATTCAGCTCGACTCATAAACCGACCCAAAATAACTCTCTCAGCTGCAGTGCAGTGATCTGTCACAGAAATGTATTCCTGCTCTCTGGGTGGATAAGAATCACGTCTGGCCTTATGCATCTTGCAAGAATTTGAAATCAGTTTGATGCATCCTCCTCTGAATTAATGTCCTAGATACACACTGCATCTCATGGTTGTTGAGTTCACAATCTATATGGGTCTACATGCAGCAGCCAAGCATAGACCTACAAACAGGCCCAGTCACTGCACATTTTCAGCCTCAGAAAAGCCAAGTGTGTGCCACGGCGGGCCCTGTGAGAGCGTTTGTTAGATTATGAGCGGCACGATTACTACTTGGGTAAGTAATTGTCCCCAGGTGTTCTGAGTACTCCAAGCTTATTCTCCACCCCCATGATGCTCAACTGTAGAGATTAGGCTCAGGGTAAAAGCTCTTCCCTCAATGGAAGGAAGGGAAAAAAGAGGAGCAAACAGACACAAACACACTAAGTATGTGTAGCCAATACGCTTTCTGCTTTGCTTGAGCATGCTGTCCCTCTGGGCCCGTTGATCCAGGTGAAGAAAAGTCCTCCCTTTTCCCACAGGACCTGTAATACCTGCGTGATGAGTGCCACAGTGCTGCCAGCTGCAGCATCAACACTCATTCCCACCATCTCTATCCACCCCACATAGAGAACACACAGGCCTGGTGGCAGCCATTGTAAAATAACGCAGAAGCTCTTTGCAGCCACCTGCTGTGCTTCATGTAATACAGCACTGACGTGAACCCAGTATTAGATTAAAAAAAAACCTGTATGTGCTGTTTTGTGAAGATAATGTGCGTAATTACTAGGCTATATAATTGTATGTTGTATTGGTAACACTTTATTTTATGAGTCTGTAATTTCCTAATAATGTCAAGGGAAATTTCATGGAATTAACTATATAATGTATGACTAGGTACAGGGCAAATAGAGGCAAAAAAAGACGGTTTAGATCGTTGTGTTGAGTTAAGGCTGTACTCAATTAAGGATTTGCACAGGAATTAAGTAGAATAAACTGCTCTATTTAAACTAAATTTGTGTTCATTATTACTTTAGAATTGATTCGAATGCAGTACCACCTAAACTAATTTACTTGCCGATTTCTTGCTGTTCTGAATATCCTCTTGCACTGATTACAAGTTGCTTTAGTTAAAAAGCTGATGTAATGTGATATTTGGACAAATATATATTCAATTGTACACTTGCCTGTAAACTAATTTGTCAAATTTGCATGTTCAGCAAAGACTTTCTGGTTACACTAGTAAATTATTATATTGGAAATATAAAACAAACAGTTAATTATAGCACAATATTAGCTCCTTTAAATAAAAATGAGAAACTATTGGACACAAAATGAAGTGTTAAAAGTCTAGAAATGTTTATTATTGGATCCCATCTGCCAGGTATGTGTGATTGCAGAGCATTGTAGTGTGCTAGAAATACAAGACATAAGCCTTGAGCTGTCAAGGATCTAAAATGGCTTGTCTACAGGGTTCAGAGCACACACTTGTGTATGCATGATGGGTCAAATGTCTTCCAACACAGTAACTCTGATTTTATAGTTTAGTTTTTGTGATGACTTAATTAGGTATACAAAAGTCAAAGGTCCTGACTTTGCATTTTGAATGAAGGCTTTAATGCTGCCGTTTAAATTATAGCTGCTTCATTAGTGGAAGAGTGCTTGTCATGGATGATTTGCATTCTGCATATCAAATTGGCCATCTCAAGGAGAAAACAGCATCTCAGGGGTTCAAAAGATGATCTGGGATCAATTCTCCATGCTTTCACATTAACACTGGCATGGTTGTCTTTTGTGATTATTACTTAGTGCACACGACCATTAGCAGTGTGGTCTTTCTTTCGCGTTTTCATTATAACAAAATGTGAATCCCACACAGCAGTAAATTACTCCTAACCATAGGTAATTCATGCAATTAATCCTTGAATAAGTCCAAAAGAATCGGGCAAATGCAAGTCGGTCGAGCAATAATTGCTTTTTAATTTGTATTGTGTTGTGTTTTATTTGTACATTGCAGAAAGGCCATCTGCAATGTACAGATAATTATTGCAAGGTATTTTAATATAATTAATATGCATATTTTATTTGTTCAACAAATCACATATAACACAATATAATACTATATTGTAAATTGCGGTCCATTTGTGTGACTGCGTGAAAGCACATGTCCCTTGACTTCATACTGTATTATTTAGCTCCCTCTGTGCCTTTAGGTCTTTGCTTAAGACTAATTACTCTTTCGGGAACTTGTAGATTTTTGTCTCCGTAACCGACATGTCAAGCTTCAGAAAAAAAGCTCAAAAGCCATAATTCCTCACACCCTTCATTTTGTTAATTAAGATTAATCAGTGCTAATTCACTATGGTAATTTGGAATGGAAAATTAGTGTGTAGACAACCCCCCGATCCTCTTTAAAAAAATTAAGCACAGCAGGAAGTAAAGCAACAACATGATATTTCTTAAGGATTCAGGTCTTTACATTACAATTAGATGCCAATTTATAAACAGCCAGACCAAAGCTCTAACCTTAGAGAGACTACATTTACAATTGGACAACACAATAGTAAGATGTTAAGCAAAATAAGGTTTCAAAGTCATCTGGGCTTCATTATTTGTATTCTGAAAATACAGCTGCATCACCTACTGCTGACAAGTTCAGTAGGGTCACATTTGATCCTTTACTTCAAAATTAATGAAGACCGCTGGCACTGGCAAAATACCTGAGATGGTTTCAATCTTAGCCAAAAACAAAGCAACTGAATGATGTTAAATCTGATCATAATGCATTTACTGCATCTTTCCCTGCATTTGAACCACCCGTGAAAACAAGGCACACAATGAGCACCATTACCATCCAAATGCTAATCTAATGAGTGGCTGGGGAAATTTGACACATTTGCACCCTGACAGAAGACTTATGCAAGCATAAGATCATACCTCAATGTGTGAATAATACCTCTTATAGTGCAAGCCTTTACTTTTAAAAAATAAATATGAGGGAGCATTGCACCAAAAAAAATCTCCTCCCCTTAATCAGTGGTGGGTTAATTGTGGGAAAGAATAACTATTACTTCAATTGTTCTACACTCCCACACCTCAGAAACAAGAAGAAAACCTTGTCAGTATGTCTTCCCCCTTCTCAGCACGTGACTGATGAACACCTCTATTACAATCATCTCGACTCACACTAGGACACGCTTCCCATCGTCAGATAATTAAGCTGATTTAGTCACACTTGAGAACACAGAGGATGTGTGAGCGTAGTTCTGATCTAAATAACTTTGTTTAATTTGAGCATAAAGAACTTTGCGTCTACACGATCAGTGAGATTACATATAGTAACATCAGTGTAATTTAGTAGATTTGTTAGGACATGTACAGCAGGAATAAAATAAATAAGTATATTGCAGGTTAACAGTGTAGGTTAATACAGGCAGACTGAATGAAGAACTCTTGGTTCAGTTCAGTTTTGGGAGTATTTACTAGTTTCTTTTAGTCCTTTTAGTCCATTATTTTAATTCTTCTTCATTCCCACCAGGTATCCATTGGCCGTACACGTACTCTCTGCTTATAGTGGTATTCTTTCAGGTGCTTTTTCAAAGCATTAGGAATGGGTAGCATGTTAATGCCATCATAGGTTGTGCAGCTGCTGGTGACCGCTCTGCAGATTTGTTGCAGAGTGAAGGGCTGTGTGCGATGGATGGGGTTCGACAGCAGGGGCTCGAAAAACATGCAGGAGTTGGGGTCCTTGTAGTGCTCCAGCAGCCCTGTAACGGTGGGAGCATGGAAGACACTCGGGTCATGCACGTCGAAGCTGAAATTGTGGTTCCACTGTTCAATGCGTGCATGGAGTGAGCGGCCGTAGCGGCGGAAGCTAACAGAGAACAGGTATCCCTCCTGGGCAGAGTCACGTAGCAGAAAAGTGCCTTCAGGCTTTCCCTCTAGCAACGTCTCTGCCTCGTAGCGGTCCATCACCCCCCAGTAACACGGGAGGTTCGTGATCTGAAGCAGGTCTGGAACTAAACAGTGGATGTAATCAATCTGAGTATGAATGCGGTAGCCATCGTGATGTTTGTGATCCTCGGTCGATGGAAGAATGGCTTTGGAGGGCACGTTGGTCGCTGTCACCTCTGGGTCAACCAGAGGGTCAGGGATAGGGTCACAGGTCTGGGAGGGGGCTGAAGCAGAGGCGGAGGCAACCACCTCATCCAGAGTGTCCAAACAGCTCTGCAGAAGGAGCTGGTGCTGCTGCTGTCTTTGGAGAAGGAGCTGCTGCTGCTGATGAACGGAGGCTCTCTCGGCCCCGGCTAACTCACTCATACCATGAGCCAGCTTGGGGCCGTGCTTGTACAGAGGGTTAATTTGGGCCGTCACCTCAAATGTGTGGATCTCTGCGTTGGGTGGTGGCTCGACGCCTTGTTCAATGCTGATGCGCCTGCGCTCTCGCAACCTGTCATCTACGTCCTCCACCACAGCAGCCATGGCCGAAGTCGGCGCACTGCACACGACTTCGGAATCAAGCACATGAGGCTGGGTGATGGGTGCTGTGTGTTGCTTAATAAGGTACCACTTCTGCGCCAGCTCCGATCCTACAGGGAAAGGGCAGTCATCCAACATCAACTCACTGAGGTGGATCAGGCGCCTCGAGGATGCACAGGCAGCTGACGGTGAAGGAGCCTCTGGAGGTGGAGGTGGAGACGGAGACGGAGATGGAGAAGGTGGTGGTGCGGCTGCACTGTGAGTTTTTATTGGGAAACACTGTCCCATTGCATCTTGGATTTTTTGCCAGGGAGTGCGTGTGCTGCTTGACCCTCTACTCTCACTTTCGCCAGGTTTCTCTGTAGCAGAGCAAACTGTTCCCAGTCCAGGCCTGGCTGTTACCTGTTCTTGTCCTAGTAATGAGGCAGTGGCTTCCAAACCCTGCCATCTCCAACTCTCTTTCAAAGAAGAGGAGGAGGATTGGTCCCTGGTCTCTAGGTCACTCAACAGCTCACCATACTGAAAGCCATCACTGACAGGCCTCTCAGCTGCTGGTTCATAGGAAGCATGGCCTTTTTTCTTCCCCTTTCCACCTTTGCGTCCACTGCGTGCATCTCGTCTCTCCTCAGAACGGCTCTGTCTCACTTTGGGACGAGCCCCTCTCTCTCGATCTTTTCCTCGGTTTCCTGACTCCTTTGGTAATGACATGATAGATTATGTGATGAGAAAAACTGAAACGTGTTGCCAATGGGTGACTTGTAATTGCTGTTAGCTTTTGGCAGGAAGTTTCCCATCCACATCTCTAGTTTGAAGCTTCATCATCATTGTCCATGCATTGTGGTCACAGAGAAAAAACAACCTGGAAAACAAGGTAAGGGTAATTAACTTTTTGAGATAAAAGTAGTCATATTAATATGGATACACTTTTGTGAAACTGATTAAACTAGTGCTAACCCATCTGCCCTGATACAAATACTAACTTCCTGAAGGCCATGTTAATGTTTCAACATTTTAGAGGGGTTTTCTTTTTCTAAATAGCACATTTACATAATGGACTTCCGTGCTCCTGTTAATTAATGTGCATTGTCCCTTCTTAAATAAATAAATACAAATAGGCCTGCATATGCGCTTGACTACTTGTTATACCATCTACTTCCTTTGAAAGTGTCATAAAAAAAGTTCGTTTTAAGCGTGAAGAATTTTAGAAAGTTAATTAAAATCACGTAAAATGCACAGTTGTATAACGTTACGCCAGCGACCAACCCGCAGGTTACCAGAATATTTAGCTACCGGTATGAATTGGTATAAATTGAGAGAACTACATTGCTTATCAACTACGCTCTTCTAATGAACAGGATATGTCCTCTTTTAAAAAACATTAGTATTTGCGAGAAAAGGTGGACGGTCGATTAACAAATCCAAACTTTTATCGCTACAACCTAAGCTAACACTAGCAAGCGTCTCATACTTGACAAACTCAAACTCTCCAAGCACATCGACTGATCAAATTATTAATGTTCAAGCAATAACAATAACATTAGCTACCAGGCTAAAACCGAGCAGCTGTTCGGCTAAGTTAGCAGCAGCTAGCTATCTGCTAACTTGGGTACTCATTGCTACAGGATAAAGTGTTACATTTTGTAGATGGCAACTTATATCTAGCTTTCACAAACATAACACAACATGTGTACAAACCTCAGCAGCTGTTGTAAAGTTTCCAGATGAAAAGGCTTCTCTTTATTCTTAGATAAACTAATGGCGTTAACAAAAAGGCGGCTTGATAAATGAACTCGGCTAAAACCGTGTAACCCGGAAGTAAAAAGTAATTGTAATATTAACGGGACATTAAGGATGTCTTTAATATGACAGATAAGACTAATACAAATAGCTTTTTTTTCAACTGCTAAAAGGCATGTCAAGTGTAACAAATAAAGTAGACGAAAAGACAAACCACAACTGAAGTTGCAAAATAACTGAACCTCTTTATTTCGACTGTCAATGATCCGACGGATGCTGCACTTCAGACCATTCACACATGAGTGACAGTACAAAAGTAGAATAAGCATGGGATGCAAAAGGTTCATAAAATATTAGAAAATGTCAGGGTGTAATCAGAATTAAATATAAATTGTACAAGACAACTATCCTTTGTAGCCTACATCTGGCTGCATCAATTCAATAATAATTAAGCCTGGCAGGGACTTTAACATGATCTTGGGACCACTTGGTAGACGTCTCCATGTGACACAGGCTCTGTACCTCCTAGTGGATGCTTGGTATGTGAAAATACACCAGGCTGAACTTGTGAAGTGCATTTCCCAACTCATTTCATGCATCAGTGGAATGTAAACATGGAGTAAACATATTCCTTGGCCTGTTATTAGTGTCAGTTTACTCATAATCACATAATCTGTGGCTCAGATAAGCATTGTCATCCTCTGATGAGTCTTGATTCTGCATGGACATTTGCAGAAACCTGCCTCACTGTACCTGTCTTATTTTGCAGTAATATGTAGGCTGTACAAATCCAGAGGCTATGAAAAGGATCATCTGAGCCATTTGTAACATAACATAATTGATATACAGTATAGTGAATAGTTAAAAATAATATAGCCGAGTCTTAAAGTTGTCAGCATTGTTAACTCACTGAAGACGAGTGAGTGTGATGCTTTTAGTAAGTCAGATCTATCCAAGAGCCTGCTCTGAAGAAATCCTTGACTAGAACATTACTCAAGACCATTAAATTGATATATTAAGGATGCTGGAGCTGTGCATTTCAGGCACCACATGAACAGTTGATCACGACATGACAGCCAAAGTGCAATCACAAGGCGAGAAAAGCTATCTCTAGTCACCGTATGACCAGAAAAAGTAGGCGTTACATGCCCATACAGTTACCACTTGAAATAAACCTACTGAGGCTCATACAGTCCATGAATTAGGGTGGTAGATGGCTTTCGGTTCAGGCTCTACCCAGCCATCTTGTGTGAGATGGCGTCAGTTCTTTAATGCGTTACATAGTGAGACAATGGAGTATTCATGACATCAGATCAAATGAATTGGGCATTATCCCAGGGATGTAAACAGTGACATTTAGGCGGTATAAACATACAACATTAGTTGCAAGATTTCTGCTTCAGCTGTTGGTGACACTGGGCCCCATCAACCACCATGTCCTCTATCTACAACAGTGCTGTATTAGTGTGGCAAAACATGCGATTATAGAAAATAAGCATAAGTTATCAATACCAAGGGAGAGTACAAAATACAATTGGAAAAGATATCTGTAAATAACCATCTTTACTAGACACACTCCTATGGCTGTGCTGAAATAAAACGTGAATGGTTATCCCTGCCTTATGATGCAATCCAAAAGTTAAGACCATATTACACATACATGCACCTCCGCTCTGCCACATTCAAAGACAGAGGCTGTATAAGACAAGTGTTTTTGATTCAACACTGATACCACATGATCATGTTAGGGTTCTGAGACTGAAACACATTGAGACACTAACAGAAAATATGGACATCATCAAGCACCTTGAAAAGAATGATTCATCAAATCGTCACGTTGGCCATTTGAGGAAGAGGGCACTGCAAGGGTGAAGCGCTGCGCTCCGGAGCATTTATTACAAGCTCAAGCTTCATTTACCAGAGCCAATCATAAGGTGGCCGGAGGGTTGAGATGGGTTTCATTTAGTTTTCTCGCCCAGCTTAAAGTGTAAATTGAAAACACTCTACCCTCTTCGCTTTTATCAGTTCAATATCAAATCAGCTCTCGCACAGCACAAACCTCACCAGCCCTTATTCACCCCTCTGGTGATTTTCCTCGGCACAAAATGGGATTCATCATCATCCACATAGTAGGGCATAAAATAACAGACAAATTGCAGCTGGCATAAATTATTCAGGCTGCTGTTCTTTTAAAAGAAAAATTATACCATTCTGTTGCACTTCACTACAAATGTCCTTTGCAAATTAACAATCACACAACCCTTCTCTTTGGCTTTGTAAATGTTTAGAGGAGGACAGTCACTTCTTCTTTGACTATGTGTTCAGGGAAAATAACCAAAACAAAAATGGTTGAATTACAAGCTTTACCTTAATCCTTTTGGTCCTCCTCTTGCCATGAAAACCAGTCCTCTAGAGAGGATAAAAGAATCAAGGAAAGAGTTCTAAGTTTCAACCAATACGAGCCATCACCTTAACACAAGCACTGCACTGGTTAGAGAACAATAAGGGTGGCAAGAAAGGGTATTGGTATCCGTTTCAATAACTGTCTACAAGTGGAACCTCAGTGTTTTCTAGGACCAATTACAGTTTAGTGGATAATATCAGAGATCTTTTAATAAAAGTGCCTTACTTCTGGCTGGACATTTTCTGAATGTACTCATTATGTGGTGCAGGGGCTGTGGCTGTCAGTGTGTTCTGGAAAGAAGCCTTGCTCCAAGACAGGAGGAAAAGAAGAGTAACTTGTAGGGCAGAGCCCGTTTAAGACAGCACCAATCCACCGTTTTTCTCTCAGACCACGGCAAACTGAGCCTCTGCACATCATGTCACAGTCCTGCAGGTGACATGGAGCAGTTTGCTTTTTTCTCTGTCCTGCAATATAATAATCATCTGTATTCCATTTTTAATAAACTTAGTTGTATATAATAAAGTACAAAAATATTAGAGAACATATACACAGTTTTTTTGTCATTTTGTAGTGACTGCTTTGCCTGGTTTTCTTAAGCATACGTATATCTTTGTGCTGGGTGATGAGGAACTGAACAGGCCTCAACTGAAGTGTATTTTTTTTTATTTCTTCCTTTCATATCGTTGATGTCCGGTCTGTTCCATCTGAGGAGGAGATTGGAAATAAATATGTTTCAAGACATTTACAATCAGAAAATATATTGCACCATATACATTTTATCCTTAAGAGGAATGGAATAATTCTAGTCCCTTTTCTCCCAGGAGCAACAGTATGTTATTGATGTCGTTTTATGTGTCCATGAATTTCTTACATTTATTGAATGCATTTTGATGGCATGTCAGCCATTGAACACATCATATTTCTAGATAAATAGCAGCTCCTTCCCCACATTGGCAAACCATAACACTAACCTCTCTGCCGAATGGATGTACATTTGATCTTCTCAAATTACTTTGTGGCTATTGTCGTCAAACGTTTACATGTGTTCCTCTACAATGGCTGTTCATGTTTTCCTTTTTAAAGGAAATAGCATCAAACTTCCTTTCATTAACATAAAGTATGATAGCATGTCTTTTATTTGCCACTGCTGTTTGTGGATACATTCCAGTGTCCTTAATAATTGATCTTAGACATCTAGAAAGAAAGCTAAACTCGGCTGAACTCCGTGCTAAACATAGTTTTAGACTGTACATAGCGAGATAGAAAAAGATATCCCAGTAACCTCATCTGTCTCTAAGACATAAAAGGGAAATACATTACTCTCTTATATTATATAAAGATTAATGCAACAGGGATACTTTTCTGTGTCAGTCACACAACACTAGAGAGAAGTAAAGTAATACAGAGCTACTAACCCTTAAACTTGTATTACATTACATTGCATTTAGCTGACGCTTTTATCCAAAGCGACTTACAATAAGTGCATTCGACCAAGATGTATGTATGACACAATAATGCAAATGTTGTAATTTAGGTACACCATATAATGCTCAGAGATAAGTGTGTGTCTTTCTCTATGTCTCAGCAAGAGGACCCATACCGTGACTTGACCAACGACATTATTCCGATGTTATTAATAATTAATAAACAAATGTAATGAATTAAATATGAATGATAAAAGTCAACAAACGGTTGTCTGACCAAGTTAGTATGTCTTCCTGGTGGACACAAATCCCTCACTAAATTATTTTTCTTTCATGGCCTACTTATAGAACTGAATTTGGTGTTGTTGTGTAGTCGGTAGCTTTAGCAGCGGGCTGCTGAGGACACTTACCCCCTAAGGCATGCTCCGTCATACTGAGGCATAGTGACTCCAGCGTGGGGTTGATCTCCAGGTCTGCACCGGGAACTTGGCATTCTAAGGGGAGGAGGACAAGAAGGAAAGAAGATTTAGGTTTATATGACTGTCAGGAATGCCATTCAGTCCATTTATTTAGCGCTCTAAATTCACAAAATCATAGTTGAATATTTATCAAAGTAGAGAAAAGCCATTCATTTGCTGATTTACCTGGAAAACAATTATTATTATCTGGTTTAAGTGAAAATATCCTGTACCCGTTTGCTGAAGAACTCCTATTAAGTTAATTTCATATTGTATATTCTATAACTCATTGCATTCCATTTTGCTGTAAATTACTGCTTTATTTTATTGCTATTTAACTATATTTTATTACAGTGTCCTTAAAGATTTTTTGTTTTATATTGAGATTCTTTGTTTTATATTTTATGTATGCACCATGACATCAAGTCAAATTCCTCGTATGTGTGAACCTACCTGGCAATAAACCCGTTTCTGATTCTGATTCTTTCTGATTCTGATTCTAATGTTCAAACAATTCTCTGACCCGATTATGCTCATTACCTGGGGATGTATACTAAAAGCATTGAGTAGTTCTGTTGTCACACATACAAAACAAGATTTACCAAGTCGAATCTGCCACATATAATAACAGTACAGAGTAGTCATCAACGAGTGCTTCACAACAACATACAAAATAATAAGGAAAATACAAAACAACAGACAGAAAATGCAGATGTCAAGCTCAACCACCAAAGCTATGAAAAAGCAAGTCTAATAAAAAAAAGTCCTTGGCTGCAGTCTTTTGTGTCCACAGACCAAATC